GCGGGTCTGACCTCTGGCGGCGGCGGGGCGGACGGGAGAGGGAAGGCAGGGCGCCCGGCGGCGGCGGCAGCGGGACAGAAACGCAGGGCCCCGCGCCCCTTCGTGGGCAGAGAGGCCGGGAAGGGAGGCGATCCCCCGAGTGCCCGGGGCGCCTGTGACACGGAGGGGCTGGGGGGCGGGGGGCTACTCCACTCCCGGTCTGGAGAGGCCCTGACTGAGGCAGCTGCACACGGCAAAGGCTAGGCACTCACCGCTGCTTCCCCTGTAGAGAAGGGCCAGGAGCGCGGCAGCCCGCACTGAACATCTGTCCGGTGTGTCCCGGGAACCCTCTCGGTTCTGCCCCCAGAGGTCTCCACCCCGGACCCTGGCCTCGGTCGTCGCGTACCTGAACTACGCCACATTAACCCTAGCGTTGAGGAGGTCCTTCCCGCTCCCCAGACCCCAAGCCGCCCCTCAGGCCACAGCTGGCGTGCCCGTCCTGCCCACATGCCCCGCAAGCCACCCTTCCTCGGGCACCGGTCGGTGCGCAGGGAGCCTGCATGCACCGCACACACCAACGCCAGCCGTCGCGGTCCTTGCAAATGCTCGCTCGGTGCTCTGCTCGGTGAACCGCCGCCTCTCGGCCATCCTGACAGTCCTGTGTGTGCCGGGCGGGGCGGGGGGGGCGGGCGCGGAGATGCCGTCTTAGCCTTCAATGCCACCCCCAGGCTCTCCAGACACCTAGTTTACTGCGTGGGACAGAAAAGACCAGGCCAAATCTCTGTACCCCACGAGGGCCCTTTTTATTTCATTTATTCAAACAAATGTTTATTGAGCATCTATCGTGTGCCAGGTACAGAGGATTTGGTGATAGGTCAGACCAGCTGATCTTAGGGTGGGGCAGGGAAACTAGGGCTATGCAGCCAGAAACTCTCAGGTGGTGATAAGTGCTGTGAAGGAAAACATGGAAAAGTGATTTGTGAAAGATGCGGGGGTGGGGTGTGGGGGGTAACCCTACTTCAGACGGGGTGTTTAGGGAGGACATTAACTTGATTGGCACAAAGGGACAAAGGCCGTCAAAGTCTGAGAAGAGAGGGAACAGCAGCACGATGGCACTGCCTTGTCATGTGGCTTGGCTGTCCCAGGGACGGACAGAGAGGCCAGCAGTGATGGGGAGCCGGGGTCGGAACAGGAGTGAGACCAGCAGGGTGCAGACCACACCTGGCCTTCTGGGCTGTGGGGAGATGTTTGGATTTTACTCTAAGTGTGATGGGAAGCTGCCCAAGTGTTTCAGCAAGGGTGGGCAGGATCCGATGGGGGCTTGGGGAAAACCTGGCTTCTGTGAAGATCTGGCAACAGAGAGACCCACTTTGAGGCTTTCTCAACTGGACAGACGAGGGGGTCAGGTGGGGCAAGAGCACTGGACCGGGAATTAGACTTGGAGTATAATCCAAATGGCCCGAGTGGGCCCTGCCTCTTCTCTGGACCTCAGCTTCTTCGTGTAAAATGGCGGGGGCGGGGGGGGGGGGAGGTGCAGGGCAGATGAGACTATAAGACATGGGCTAAGGATCCTTCCATTCAATCCCCTGATGGTCCCAAAGCATTCCTCAAAGGCCCCCTCTTTCAAGAAAGATGACCTGATAAGAGGGGAGTAAAGGAACACATTTTCTGAGAGCTACTTATGTCAGGCTCCAGATTAGGCATTGATTTGGGCTTTTTTCCCCTTCCCCAAATATATTTTGGAACCTGACTAGGGCCAGGAGTTAGATTCATTTCTAGATTCTCATCATTCGATGCTACACAAGACAGACAAGGTCTTGGAGGCAGGGGGACAGAAAGCAAGCAAATAAAGCTCACGTAGCTAGAGGAACCTTATGAGAAAAGGAATCAGGATGACAGGATTGAGGGAGCTAGTGCGGACGAGGGGGGTGGTCGGGAAGGGGGGGCCAGGCGGCAGGATGCCTGGTACGGCAGCCCAGTACAGCACCACACGGGGTGTGCCTGGCGTGGAGGGCGGGGGCGCCGGGAGATAAAGTCGAAGAGGTCAGCAGGGCCTGAAGGCTGCAGGGCCTGGCGGGGGGTGGGGGGGCAGCCGCTGGCGGGTCCAAGCAGGACAGCGACAAGCTCTGGTTTGCCTTTTTAAAAGCTCCTCCGGCTGCCTCTAAGTGGAAGAAGGACTGGATTGAACTCGGGGGAGGAGGAGGAGGCCGTGGCAGAGCCAGGTGGCAGGTGGCCGTCCGAAGTGGCCCGTCTTTGCTACCTGCTACTCCGAGCAGCCATAACGTCCCCACTCTTCAGGGCCCCCCCTCAGATAATGGCAGTTAGGGAGCAGAGTCTAGGTTGAGGGTGCGCCTCATCGCAGGAGGAAACTTCCAGGGCATTTGTTAACTCGTTCTTGACCAGTTCAGGATCCCCAATTTGGACAAGCAAATAACTATGAAATAAAATTCTGTGAGCCTTGCAAAGATCGCAGTAGGCTTTCCACTAGGGTTTTCAAAGGTGTCACAACCCTGTGGGGTCCCTGTCCGCTCTGCCAGGCTCAGTGCACAAACACTTTTGAGTTGTGACCCGTGTAGGGTCAGTGCTGTGACAGGAAGCACAGGCCTCCCAGCCGGACCTGGGTTTGAATCCCATCTCATTCATTCAACAAATATTTATTGAGGGCCTACTATGTGCCAGGCCCTATGCAGCAGTGACTTAGACAGGGTCCCTGCTCTAGTGGGGACGACAGGCACGAGACAGGATAATCTCAGAAAGTGATAAGTGGTATAAAGCAAAGTATGAGAAAGTGTCTGGAGGTGGCAGAGGGGGGCTACTTGCGGTGGGGTAAACAGCAAGTGCTTTGCCCTCTTTTCCTGGCCGGATATCATCAGGGACATTACCTCACCTCTCTGAAGGCTCAGTTTCCTCATCTGGGCAGTGGAGGTAGAAACACCGCCCCCCCCACCCCGCAGCCGCCTGGGAACATTGGATTTCTGGCAAGTGTGGTACCCGGGCTCCATCTGCTGAGCAGGGGGCCGCAGGCTGCTCTCCCACCCGTTAGGGCTTTCAGTTCTTCCCCAGGAAGGAAGTTGGTCCACAAACTGAGACTGCTTGTGAGAGAGGGAGGTAAAGCCAAGGCTCCCTCGCCTGCACCTCAGCCAACAGGGACGGCGCTGCAGCGGCGGCCAGAGCAGGCCGCCCGGGCTGACGGCGCAGGAAGACCTAGGAAGGTGGTTTCTCTGTCAGGCTTTGTCCTGGTTGTCCGGAGCCCCCTCCCAGAATGGTTTTTTGATCCTGTCCCAGCTCCTCGGGCCTCAGAGGCTTGTGGAGAAGAGATGTCAAGCTCTACCACACGTCTGAGGCTGGGAGACCATTCTGGCATCGCCCACCTCGGGAAGCCAAGCCCTGCGGGGCAGGCTCCCTTCCGAGCCGGCACTTCCCACAGGGGCAGAGGCGAGGCTGCGGGGTCCTGGACCCCAGCCCGGCCGGCGCTCCCCGCTCAGAGCCTGTAAGCTGGCCCTGGGGCGGGGCGGGGGGGAGCGCAGGACTGCCCCCCAAGGAAAGGAATCCCCCTGAAGGCTTCAGGCAGGGAGCTACCCTCCTCTCACCCCGGCCTTGCCCCCCTAGCTCTAGGGACCCAGCTCCTCTGAGCTTCTCTCCTCGATCCCCGCCCAAGGATGAGCCTGGGCGGCGGGGACAGCTCCTCAGGGGCGGGGCTTGGAGAAGCCATTTTCCGGCTTCCACTGCTCATTCCCTCCTTCGAACCCTCAGCCTTCGTCCAAGCTCTGAGCGCCTGCGCCAGGCCCTGTGCCGCACACGGCTGGACGGCTGGGCAGAGACCCCACTTCCAAGCCCCAGGACCCCCAGGGCGGGGGAGTCAGGGCTCTGGTGAGCCACAGAGCCCAGCGCGGCCAGGCAGACACGCGGCGGCTGAGGCCTCTGACAGGGATGAAGAATGGGATATGAAGTTAGAAAAGCTGGCAGAAGGCAGACTGCTAGACTGGGCCACAGCCCGCAGGAGGGGGCAGTGGGGGTGGCGGGCTGGGGGTGGGGAAGGCCCTGAGGAGTGATGGCAGCCCCTGAGATGGGGGTCCAGGGAAGAGCACACATAACGCAAGCTGGGGGTTACAAAACATGAAAAGGAAGAAAAACAAATCCTGAGGTCTGAGTGCTCCCCCCCGGGGTGGCATTGGTTAGCAGAAACAGGCCCCAGGTGGGGACACAGGGCAGGGGAAGGGGAAGTGGGGGGTGCAGGGGAGGGGCAGTCTCTGAGGACAACCTGGCCACAGGTCACCAAAAGTTAACAATTCTCTTTGACAGAGAAACCCCAATTATAGGATGAATCCCGTAGATATTTCCAGGCTAGTGAAGAGAGTCATGGAAGCATTGAAACAGCGCTGCACACCCATCAACAGGGCTGGTTAAATAAAGCGCCGGGCACAGGCTGTGGGCCACTCCGCAGCTATTCCAAAGAACAAGCTACACCCAATGTGCCCACTGAGCCGTCCAGGTTAACAAAGCAAGAAGCACCACTGTGCCCATTTGGCCGCGTGCCCCTGCCGGGAGCGGGGCTGTGTCCAGGCCGTGGGACTGAGGGGCAGGGGCTTTGTTTTCACTTCGCATCCTTCTGCACCGTTGAGTTTTAGACCACGAGTAACTTTACTGAGAAAAAACTAATGGGCTTTTAAAGAAATGGGGGAAAAGAAGACCTGGGGAAAGGCAGCATGACTTACAGCAGGGCCTGGCCGGGCCCCCACCTCCCTCTTCTCCTGCACCCACTCACTGCTCGGTCCAGCAGCCTTCACAGCTCTTGGAGAACGGACAGAGGGAGGTGGCTCTCAATTCTGGAGACAGGTGCAAATCTCCAATCATCCTCAACTCTGTCACCTCTGTGGGCCTTATCTCTAGGTTGGAGATTCTTACTCAACAACCATGGTCCCTGGGTGCCTCGAGGCCCCATGCAGATGTGTGCACGTGGGCCTGCCATCCCTCTTGCTTAATGCAATTCAGAATGAAAACCAAACTTAATGCTGTGTGAGGTCCCACAAAGGTCTGGCTTCTTCCCTGATGCGCACTACCTACCTCCATCCTTAAACAATGTGTATCCTATTGGAACCCTCTGTGGGGCTCCTGTTTTGCTGGTGCCCTAGCATGGGCTGGCTGCGCTTAGGAACCAGCCCCCTGGCCTGTCCCAGTCTCCCGGCAGAGCTGGGGCCCAGTTCCTACTGAAGGGGTCAGCAGGCTCCCTCCAAGTGAGGCGTCTGGGAACTCTAAGCTCTCTCAGCCCCCACGTTTTGCACCCTTTCAGCCTCAGCACGACTTGTCCACTCCTTTGATCTCTGGCCGCTTCTCCTGGGTTCAGTCAGACCCACCGGCCCCTCAGAGCCCACTGCCCAGCCACAGGGGGCAAGGGGCCAGGGCCCCTAACAACGTCCCCATTCAGGCCTTCACAATACACATTTGCATCTTAAAGGCAACCTTCTCCACAGTCTCGCCTGGTGAATTTCCCTTTGTCTCCCCTTAAATGCTGAAAAGTACTTAATGCCTATTTACATTTTAAATCCCAAACTGGGCCCTGCCACCCTCGCTCCCAGTCCAGGCCTAGGATGAAGCCAACCTCTCGGTTTAAAACACATTTTGGGGAGACACTCTTTGGCCCTCAACTATAACCTCAGCAGGTAACAGCCAACGGGGCCTTCCCTGGGGAGGGGCCCTCAGGCGGCAGGGCCTCTGAATCCAGTCCCTGAGTTGGTGACTCCCACTCAGGCCATCTGAAACCCTCCCAGGTGGAGGCGCCTCCGCTTGAGCTCCAGGACGGATACCCCTTTTACAGATGATAACACTGAGGCTGACAGAAGCACAGGAGCCCTCCCAGAGCCCAGGGTTCTGCATCCTAGACCCAGACTTGCCACACTCTGCCTGACACAGGGTCTCTGTTTTGTGTCTCATCCTCCAGGAAGGCTGTATTCTTGCAGGTCCTCCCTTCTCTTGAGGGCATCTCTGTTCAGAAGTCCAAACTCAGGCTGCCAAAGCTGGAGGGCGCTGCACACATCCAACCCCTTTTCACAAACTGGGGAGCTGAGGGCAGAGTAGTGTGGGGGGAGCTGTGGGTCACACGTGAAGTTTGTGGGAGTGCCAGGGTCCAAGCCCAGCCAGGAACTCCTGACTCCCAGCCCACATTGAAACAGCGCTGCACTGTGGGCCACTCCGCAGCTATTCCAAAGAACAAGCTACACCCAACCACCCAACAAGCTACACCACCCCCCACCCCCGCGCTTCCCCTTCCCGGACTTCATGGCCTCTGGCTCTCTCCACCCTGGAACCCCAATTTCTACCATCCCGTCCTATCCACCCCTCCATGCTTGGGCCTAAAATCACTTACTCCAAAGGGATCAGCTCTCCTCCCGGGGTGTCTCCCCATGGTGTCAGCTTCCCCAAGTAGAGGCTCCTTTGGCTTCGAGAAAGACTGTTCGGCGCGGTGTGGCAGCTGCAGGCAAATCTTCAGGCGGCAGTGAGCAGGGGCAGCAACCAGGCAGGGGGTGTGCCCAGGGCTGGGCTTGGGCGGGGAACAAGGCAGACCCAACTCTGTTCTTGCAGAGCGCCCAGTACACATGTAAATAGATGGAACAGGGTCAGATGATGATAAGTGCTATGAAGAAAATCAAGCAGGGTGATGTGATACAGGAATTCTCGAGCGGTATTCAGCCAGGCTGACTAGGCGGCTACCCTGAAGAGGCTCTCAAGGATTGAGATGGGAGTAACTGCAGTCAGCCACACAGCAAGTGCAAAGGCCCTGAGGTGGGACCCCGCCCCCGGTCTGTGTGAGGAACAAAAAGGCCAGTGCAGCTGAGTGCAGACTCATCCTAAATCTGATGAGAAGCTGCCCGAAGCCCTTCGGCAGAGGGGGGATGCAGGAGATCAGACTTCTGTGTTAGCCACTCCATCTGCTACTGCGTGGAGAAGGCTGAAGAGCCCAGAGGGGAAGGGTGGAGACCTCGGGGGCTTGGAGAGGAACCTGTTTGGGAACAGATGTGACAGGAATCTATAGGTTGAATGAGAGGGTAGAGGAGAAAAGAAATCGGGGCCGAGTCTGTGTTTTGGGGCTAGAACTGTCTGTGAAACCTTGGGGAGGAGCAGGTTTGCAAGAGAAAACAGTTCTGTTTTAGCCACCACCCGGAAAGAGATGTGCTTGGACATCCCAGTGGAGCTGGCGGCAGGCAGTTGGCGGCCAGTCTGTGGTCAGGAGAGAGACGGGAATGAGGGCTGACATAAACGGGGTGTCACCGGTGTAAGGATAGTGTTTGGAGCCCCAGGACTGGAGGAGAGAGGACCCACCTACCCACCCTGATTCTGCCCCTAGCTTAACTCCAAGACTGGTCTGGCCCTGGGGTGGATGCAGGAGGGTGTCATCTCTGCTAGGCCCTGGCCACTTCCAGATGTTTCTTTCTCCAGATTCCATCATTTTTCATTGGTTACTTGAGGCCTTCCCCACCTGCGTTTCCTTAGAAGGGTGATGGTGGGGGTGCTGCCTGGGAGTGTGGGGGTTGAGAAGCATCCCTGAAGGCTGGCAGGACCCCAGGCCTAGAATCCTGACTAACTGGACAAAGCCACTATCCTCCATCCCCCAAGCCTGTCAAGCCTGTGTCCCCATCTGTACGACGAGGCCAGTGGGATGAAACCACTTGGTCTCTGCCAATTCCCAAGGCCCTAGAATTAGCCTCCTGGAGCCCTGCTCCACACGTCCACAGGCAGCACCCCCCTCCCCACAGCAAAAGCACCTGCTCCACCAGGAGCAGGCCAAGGAGCCCACCAGGGCTGGTGTGGACTCTGAGCCCTGTCTTCTACGTCCTCCCAATGGCCTGGGTCACACTGCCCTGCCTGCAAATATCCATGCCCTCCACTGATTCCTTCTCCCCTCCAATTACAGCAAGGTCTCCCCCCGGGCTGAAGAACCTTCCATCTGCCCCACACTGGCCACACCCCCCAAACTGCCCAGGTGCTGGGAGTCTGGCCCATCTAGAGGGGTAACAGTTACTCAGGCCCTGTTCCTTCCGCCCCCACCCAGGGTGAATCTTCAGACTTTTTTTTAAAGGAAAGCTGAAATCTGGAGACATTTTTATCTGAAATCACCTGATCTTTCAATCCTGGACCTAATTTAGTCGTTTCATTTTTGTTTTTAAAACACTGGGCAAAACAGGCAGATCCCAGCCAGAGGGTTTCAGAGGCTGGAAGCTTCCCAGTCTCTCCAGCTCCACTGAAACTGCCCACTCTGCCGACTGATCAATCCACTTTCTGAATGCGCTGCATTGTGACAGACAGGCACTTCTTTCTTGAAACTCTCTCCTCCTTAGCTTCCGTGACAGCAGCCACACCTGCGTCCCTCCTTCCTCTCTGACCATTCTTCTTCTGTCTCCCATGAAGCAGCTCTTCCTTTCCTACCATTTCCACATCCTCCTCTTCCCTCCACAGTGACCCCGGGAAGACAGCCCTGACCCAGGCTGCTGCTGCAACCAGCTCCAGATTCACATTTCCAGCGACCTTCTCTCCAGGATGGCTGGGCAAATATCAGTCTGAGGGTGCCCTTGCTGCCCATGCTGGGGGGCCACCAGGGGCATCACCCTCTACTCTTCCTCTGACCTTTCAGAGACCAAGCTCAAGCCCCTCCAGGCCAGTCACCTGGCTGCCTCCCGCTCCAGCTGGTCTCTTGGGGCCAACTCTCTTCCTGGTGTCCCTGTTCCAGCCCCAGCTCCGAGCACCCTGGTCCACAGTGCTAGGGGGTGCCATACCCACCTCCGTGCCCTCTGCTCCGTCTAGGACGGCTTCTGCTCCTGGACAGACACTCCTCGGCGGCTGCGGCAGCTCCACCTTACTGCTTCTCTATCACTGCACTACATCCTCCATGTCGCCTAGCCTGCACACACTTTGCATTTCCGGAACCTGTGGTTTTTGCTCAAGCCATGCCGTCTCTGCAAGACCTTTCTGCTCCCCAGCCACCTCCAGGGCTCAGCCAACAGGTGCTTTCAGAAACCCACCCCAGTCTCTGCTAGGAGATTCGTGATGGTCTTTCCTCACCTTGGCGGACAAGGTTTTCCTGGCTTGACATACAGTTCACTGAGGGGGCGGGGGGGGGTGTCCTCCTTCTTGGGCGGGGGGCTTGGCCTTTTTTGCAGGGACCTGGGTTTATCTTCCTTCTCCTATGGGCTGTACTCACTGCCCTGGGGGACAAAGTCCTCCTCTGGCTCAATGCCACTGACCGCCCTCCCACTCCAAAAAAACCCACCGGGGGCTCACATTTCCCAGCTTCAATTTCCTCCTCTCCTGGGCCTTATTCACTAGTTTGTCTGAGGGGCAAATGGGGTCTGTGCTTGCTCTGGGAAAAGGGTGCGTGCAGACAGGGGCCTCTTGGGGTAGAAGACCCAGAACACCACCCCCCACCCCCGCGCTTCCCCTTCCCGGACTTCATGGCCTCTGGCTCTCTCCACCCTGGAACCCCAATTTCTACCATCCCGTCCTATCCACCCCTCCATGCTCGGGCCTAAAATCACTTACTCCAAAGGGATCAGCTCTCCTCCCGGGGTGTCTCCCCATGGTGTCAGCTTCCCCAAGTAGAGGCTTCTTTGGCTTCGAGAAAGGCTGTTCGGCGCCTCCTCGGCACCAGTTCTGCGGCACCCCGCCCAGCTCAGAGCCGCCAGACTTGCACAAGCCCCCGCGGAGGATTTCGCCGGGTACCGGGAGAGAGAGAGCTAGGAGAGCAGTCTCCGGGACCCGCTCTCCATCGCCCTTCCCGTAGGACAGGGGGAGGGGTGTGGCCGCAGCACCTCCCCTCCCCCACCCTGTCCAAGAACTCCTTTGGGGGTCGCAGCCTGACACTCGCTCCACCAGCTCCACCATGGAACCGCCGTTTGGCTTTGGGGCGAACGGTGGCGGCTACTTCCACAGCACAAAATGGGGCACTTGGAGCATCAGCGCTGGGGGGGGGGGTTGGGAAATGTCCGCAGAGAGACACCTGCGGTCGTCCCCCACTTCCTCCCGGGCGGTGCTCAGGCCCCTGAGGCATAACAAGACCCCGGGCGCGCAGCTGGAGGGCGCCTCCAGCCGCCATCCCCTCGGACGCGGGTGGAGACCCCCCTCGGAGATGTCCTAGCACACTTCACATTGCCCCAGCCGACCACGTGAGGGCGTGCCCTGTGTTAGTTCGGACAAATTAAAGCTGGTCCTGCGGGCAGGCCAGGGGCCCCCTGACCGCGCTCAGGGCTTGGGTGGACGTGGCGCACTCTTGGCTGCCGGCCCCAAAGCTCCGGGCCGCGCGGCCTCCCCCGGGACCCGCGCTATTCGCCCCCAAACCGGGTGCCCCCCTCCTCTCGCGCTCCCGCAGCATAGGGTGCACCCCTCCGTTCCCCTTTGCCGAGCCCTTCCCGGGCGCAGGCCGCCTCTCCGCTGCGCCGCAGGCTCGGGCCCTGTCCGGGGCGCTCGGCTGTGGGCTCGGTGGCGCCCGGGAGGCGCGGTCCGGGAAGCCAGCGGCCGAGGAAGGGGCTGCAAGAAGCACAAGTTGGCGCTGGCTCCAGACCAGGCTGTTGTTGTTCTCAACGTGGTCCGCCATGGAGCTATAAAAGCGGAGCAGAGCGCCCTCTTCACCAGAGCGCAGCGCGCACGCCCAGCGAGCTCCGGCGACAGCAGTGGCAGCAGCAGCCGCGGCGCTCCCTTGGCCGATTTCCCCGCTCCGGCCGGGTCCCGGCTCCAGCCCCATCTGCCCCGACACCCCGCTCCGCTCCGGCTCCGGCTCCGGCTTCGGCTCCAGCTCCGGC